GGAGAATTGCTTATTTAGGTCTTCTGCCCATTTTTGGATTGGGTTGTTTGTTTTAAAGCAAGTCTTAAAATTGTGTGTGTGTGTGTGTGAACATGTACATGTAACACTTATATGATGACTTACACTACGCTAAGATACAAACACTTAGAAAGAAGACTGCAGAATTAAGTATCAGTGATACTTACGGTGTGAGATTCTGAGTGCTTTTGCTTTTTTATGCTTTTCTCTCTTTTTCAACCTTTTACTGTAAGCCTATCTAGTTTTATCATCAGAAAAGAATGGTAAATGAGATTTTTAAAAATATGGCTCTGGCTGTGAAATGCACTGTTCTGTCCTCACACTGAAGTGCCTCTGAGCCCCGGGTACCTGAGCCTTGGATGGCACGCTCCCAGCCAGATGCTGTGGGTGTGCTGGCATTCCAGTAGTTCTCTCCAAATTATCAAGACCTCTTCCTTGGGCTTCATCTTACACTCCCTGAATGCAGTTCCTGGTTGGTAAAGGAAATAGCTCCGAAGGCCGATTGGAGCATGTTGGGTTCAGCTGAATACTTTGGCCACATGACCATCTGTGCGATGATACAGAATTCCTGCTTTTATCTATTGACTGACTGACTCAGTCATCTTCAGGGCCTGACATGAAGAAAGCTCCCTTCCTCCCCTCCCCCTTCACCTGTCCGTATAACGCGTTTTTATTGAGTAGCGACTGTGTGCATGATTTTGTGCTAAGAGGTAGGGTTTCGAGCATCCGTAAGACACAGCCCTGGCTGTAAGGCGGTCATGAGCTTGGGCGTGGGAGTGGAGGCAGGCTGCAGGCAGTGGGTGAGACCCTCCAGGCACTCGTGTTGCCTGCCTTCTACGGACCAGGTGCTGTAGGACCAGGGGATGCAGCTGAACGTGGATGCAGGTATGAGGGCCGGGCAGCAGTCAGGGGGAAGAGGTCGACATTAGCCTGGGCAGGATCTTAATTCACCCATTCATTTCTTCTTTGAACTGGTTACTGGGTTACTTCAGTGTACCAGGCAGGCGTTATTCTAGTTCTGGGAAATACCGGCAAACCAGACAAGAGGATCTCTGCCCTCAGGGAGCTAAATTCCAGTAGAATTGATAGACAGCTAATAACTCCAGAAGTAAATATTTACAACTCATGAGAAATGCTATGGCAGAAATAGACTGAATGCTGTGATGGAGAATAAGGCAGTGGGGAGGGGGGTGAGAGAGAATGCTGCTGGAGAGAGGTGGCCTGGGAAGGCCTTTCTCAAATCTGAAGAATGAGAGGCTCCAGCTGTGCCCAGGGTCAGGAGCAGAGCATTCCCGCATGGGGAGCAGTAGGCACAAAGACTGAGGAAGAGCCTGGTATGTTCTAGAAACTGCACGAAGGTTGAGAGTGCTGGACACAGCAGCAATGTGGGGCGGCTTTGTAGAGGATATGATACTGGGGCAGAAATCTGAAGGGATGGTGGGGTCCTGGGCACAAGGTTGGAAGCAGGCAGATGGGGCGCTGTGCAGCTGGCGGGGCGCCGTGTGGCTGGCGGGGTGCAGGGTGCATGAGCCAGTGTGTCTGACTAAGGATGAAGTGCGAGATGACAGGCAGGGCTCTGAGGATGAGGCTGCAGTTCCCGCTGGGCTTTTGGGATCCCTGGGGCTAAGTAATTGCCAGTCCTTTCTGTGATGTTTTTACCTTGGTTCCTTGTTCCAAAATTCAGATTTCCTTCTGAGGTCCACACATCTTCCCTGAGGTTGGGTTCTCTGACTGCGTCTTCAGTTCTAAACTGTGTTGAACCAGCACTGAAGCCAGTGCTACCCTGGGAGTCAATTATTTCATTTTCTTGGAATGAATCCGTTATGAGTTACTAATGATAATGATTCATTACTCTGTCTCATGCTGGCATGTGCTGATTCTCCAACAGCCCGCTGAAGAAATTGCCCTCCTGATTAATTCTCTGCTTCTGTGTTTCTCCCTTCTCTTAGAATGGCAATTCAAGTGGATAAGTTCAACTTTGAGAGTTTCCCAGAATCCCCTGGGGAGAAGGGGCAGTTTGCAAATGCGAAGCAGCTGGAGGAGGAGAGGCAGGAAGCCCGAAGCCTGGAGATCAACAGCAAGCTGGACATCCACTGGACCATCATATCCTTCCCACGGGCCCACCCTGGACCTGAGGGCCACTCAGGGGGACCCCAGAGGCGCCAGATATTGGATGTTAGCCACAGATAACGCAGAAACGGCATGGCAGGGAGCTGGGGATGAAAGCGTGGGCATTTTCCTACCCTCTCACCACATGCAAGGCCCCGTGAGTGAGGAATCGGTTCAGGGTAAGGAAAGGCCTCCCGGGGCCGGTGCTGTTCTTGTCCTCGTCATGTGTCCTTGGCCAGTGCTGACGTTCATGTTGGTGACAGGTTCTAACAGCCACCTATCAATGCCGGGCTTGAGGGGCTCCACATAGTGACAGTGAAACGCAGGGTACAGTTGTCTGGGAGGCTGAAATCGGTGGTACAGCTCACCGTAGCCCAGAGATTTCGCTTTGAAGAGACCAGGGGCAGGGGTGTTCAGGAGGACCGTGCTGTAAAAGGGTGTTTTGTAAAACAGCTGGCCCCGCTCTGAACTTCAGATCAGTGCCTGGCTCGTGGTAGACACTCAGCTGGATGAGTGGAAACTCTGGAGAAACCCCAGGTTCACTTGTTTCTTTGTGTGTTCAGCAGTCTTTCCAGAGTGCCCACTCTGGGTCAGGTATTTAGCTAGCCGCTTGAGAGGCTGAGATACAAAGACAGGACCTCAGTGCGGCTTCAGGGTCTAGAAGAGGGTGGATGTCGTCTGAGAATTAAATGTACTGCAGGGGGTCCAGGGAAGAGAGTTGTGCCACGTACTATGAGTTTCAGAGGGTGAAGCTGCTGGGTGCAGGGCAATCAGGGAAGGCTTCACAGAGGGGGTGACATTAGAGGGGCTTTTAAGGATGAGCAGAAGTTTATTAAGGGGACAAGGGGAGGAAATGCCCTGAAGTTCCCAAGATGCAAGAAGATGGCTCGCTCAGAGAATGTCTTCCAGGAAGAGGCAACGCTGATGGGAGTGTCTGTTAACGATCTCGTTCCTACATTGGTTCTGTGACTGTGGGATGGTGGGAGCCTGTTGTAGGTCTCAGCTCCTTCCAGACCATCTGCCTAAGGAAACATCCTTAGGTTGCAGGAGGCACAGTGTCCTGAATCTGGGCCTGGTAGACTGGACTTCTGCCTCCAAGGAGTTTGTGACAGAAAAAGCACTGTAGATGGAAGGCTTTGAGAACGAGACCTAAAAATGGAGCACCTGGGGACTCTTGAGGTGAACCAGCCATGCCTCATGGAGTTAGGGCTTTTGTCTTCTGTACAGAGAGAAGGAAAAAGGTGAGGACAACCAGAGTCACCTTTCTCTCGGTCCCCCCAAGGCTCAGCACAATATCAGGGTCCAGTCAGCTGGTGCTGGTTCTGCAGAGACTGGGCCTTGCTGGGCACCAGGGTGCAAGGCAGCACCTGCGAGCATCACAGCCGTCACTTCCCGGGTGCTGCCCCTGGGCACCCGCTCAGCAGCTCCCAGGGCGCTTTTCATCCTGTCTTACCGATGGAAACTGCCTCTGAGCTCCTGCGGGGAAAGGGGAGGAGCCAGCCAGTGCTTGATCCAGCAGCCTGGCTCTGAGCCAGTGGTCCTCACTTTCCAGTGGGGTGAAGTTGACCATCAAAACCCTTAGCTTCTGGAAATCTATTATTGAAATGTACCGAAATATCTTTCAGTTTCTCTCCTTTTAGCCTTGACTCTTTTAAGAAGTTAACTTACCTATTTTCTGTATTCGATAAATAATTCATGCAACAAATACTTACTGAATGCCTGCCGTGCGCCAGGCACACCTGTCTCCTGGATTCACTGGTTGGAAGCTTGCTGAGAGGCTGTCTGTGTAGGCAAATTCAAGTAAAAAGAATTAACATTACAGACACTCCCTCCCTCCCCGCTCCTGTCTGGTAATGACATCTGGTGTGGGGTGAATAGCAGACTTTTGCTATTGTAAACCTGAATTCAAGCAGATGGAAAGACCAAAGATTGAATTGGCTAATTATTTCATTATGCATTTTAATATTTTCTCAATATTTAGACTGTATAAAGAATTTGAGGCTAATTGGACACCCATGCGTGGTAATAAAAATGGCCCACATGTAGCACAAGAGGCTGGATGGACATGATCATGGAAAGGGTGGCTCCAGCAGTAGGTATGTGCACACCTGTCTGCCTGTCTCCAACCATCAGATAAGCAGCAGGGGACACCAGGAGCACCAGACTGACTCTTTACCTGGCTGACGATTGAGACGTCTTCTCGTTTCCATGTGCTGGGCCCTGGAGAGGCCCCTGGTGGGGGGGGGGCAGACACAGAGATGGGCACTGCCAGCGCAGCCTGGGAGGGCTCAGACAAGAGCATTCCTTCAGTGAGGACGGGCATTTACGCACATTCCAGAGCCTGAAATGCGGTAGGGGCCTACACTGTTCCCTGTGACTGGTTATACAGAGCTCAGACTCAGGCAGCAGGGTTCTGGGCCTCTTAGGCCATGCTGAGGAGTTGGGCTGGCTGGCCAGCCTTCCTCTCCCGTTTCCTGCCCCCCACCCAGGTCTCCCGTGCCCACTCTTCCCAGGAGCCCTCTCTGCCGCCCCTCCCACCCAGCCCTGGCTGGAACCACCCCTCCTCTGCGCTCCTGCAGCACTCAGTGCTCAGCTCTTGTTTGCAGTGCTGCTTGCAGAGCACAGGGAAGTTTGCTTCCTTCTGCAGACTGTCCCCCTGCCAGGCTGCGCTGTTCTTGAGGCCAGGTCATGTCAGCAGCTGTTTATTGATGACCGACAGCGTGCTGGGGGTGGTGCCAGGAGCCAGGGAGCACCGCAAGGAGCAGAGTCGGGTGTGGATGCTGCCCCACGGAGCCCAAGGGTGCTCTCTCTTCCCACGCCCGTGCTGCGTGAAATCCTTAGCACGTGGGTGTTAAAACCATTTGGTGAGTGAATGGTCTCCGTTTCATGCTGCAACCAGCCGAGTGGGTGCCTGCTCAGCTGCACTAGACAGAGTGCTGAGATGAACATACGAAGGGAGCTGCCACCAGCAAGATTCATCTTAATTTAACCCTGGCTCCCTTTCCAGGGGCAGCCTGTGTAGACGGTCTGTGGTGGACACAGATGAGGGGGACGCTTGCAGCAGGCCTGGTGTCAGCTTCCCTTCTTGTTTTCCTGGTTTTTGTTACAAACCTCCCTTCCAAGAGCATTTCAGGGTTGGCAAGATACTTGCTAACCTATCAGAATCCAGCGCCTTCAGGGTTTCCTGACAAGAGCTGGGTGCACAGTGCAGCTGATCCCCATGAAGCCGCTGGCCTGGACCATCTGGGCCGAGTCTCTGCTAGGTGGTCTGATAAGCATGCGTCTCCGCCTTCTGTCTGGAGATCATTTGTAACCATCTGCTCGAGGGTGAGGCAGACGCTCAAGGAGCCCGAAGGCAAACTGGGCTTTCGGTGCCTAAGAATCGCAGACCCAGAGTGGGAGCTGGAAGGTCTTTGCGGGACACGTGAGGCACAGATGCGTGAATAATTGGGGAGGAGGAGATGCGGAGCAGTGCCGGCTGTTGTCTCTGAGAGCAGATCGGGCGTCCCGGAGGGGCCACCTCCCCAGAGGCTGGCCCCAGGATGGCTCGCATCCTGGGCCGTGCTGCTGAGTTTGTCTTCACAGGCACCAGTCATCCTCTGTCAACCCAGAAGCTCAAGAGTGGCTGTGATGCTTGTCATTGGTTTTTCCTTGAGGTTTCACATGCCTAACCCTACAAGACTCCAGGCACAGTGCCCTCTGTTTGGTTAGTCACCACCAGGGCAGCCAGCCTGGCCGTGGCCATGCCTGGCTTCTCCATTTCCAAGACTACCTTCCCTCCAGGAAGGAGAATTTGTCAACAGCCGAGCCCACCTCCCTCTTAAAACAGAAGCAGAGGTTAAGCAGTTTGCAGTGGATTGCCCAAGATGGCCCTCCGCCTCGAATTGGCTTCTACTTATTCTCAAAGGTGCTTCTGGTGGACCTCCGTCTTCTTATTGCCTGAGAGAAATTAAATATTTTTAGACAAGATTCCTTTAAAACACATTGCACTATGTTTTTCTAACAGTCATCTTAGGAGAAATAGTTTCATCTAGACAAATTGTAATACAAGGAGCTCCTGTCATCAGCACCGCTGATTCCTTGATCATCTTCAGTAAAATGCAGGGTTGCAGCTTGTATCCGTCTTTAGGGAATTTAGTGTTTTCAGCTGTGGATAATCACTGTGTTCAGAGGGCTTTACTCCTCATAGTGGGGAAGCCTTGCCAGCCAAAGAGAAGCGTTGCTCCAGACCTTTGATGATGTAATGTTGCCCTGGCTGTTTGGCCTTAGTAGACAGAGGGAGGAAGGTGGGAAGGATGCATGTTTGATCACTGCCTCCCCAGAACCCAAGATATGGTAGACACGCACACCCTGAACCTTGAAATTACTTTGAAAGCAGTCAGGGTTTGACACAGAGAGCATTGATTTTGGATTTGGCTGGCTCATGAGAGTGGGGAAGGACCTTTCCCTAACACGAAGAGTTTCGAATTTATGTGTGAACATGCATACGGATCGACGTGCATTGTGTTGGTGTGATTGGGTGCACGTTGGGCTTGTACACATTCTGTGTGCTTTTGGCACGACATTATTGCGAGCACATGTATCTTATATAATAGAATCAGAAAAGTTCAGAGCCTAATCCCCGCACGGCACTTAACTAGATGCCAGGCACTGTTTAAAGCAGTTTACATAGATTTACCCAATTTTTGCAAAAACCCTATGAAGTACTTTTTACCTGCATCCCATAGATGAGAAAACTGGGGCCCAGTAAGGTTAACTAACTTGTTCCAGGGCCCCCAGCCAGCAAGTGGCAGAGCTGGGGTTCACGTCCAGCTCTGGCTTCAGAGTCTGTGCTCTCAGCTCTGTGCTGGGAAAAAGAACAAAAGAGCATCTGGTCTCTGCCAAGGCCTTCAAGTTATCCCCAGTTTTCAGATGAAACCAAAGAGAGCATTCCTCGGGCACCCTGCTGATGGACACGCTCTGCCCCCCCCCCGCCCCCCGGCCCAGCAAGATCTCTCTCCATTTCACCTGCCCTCCTTCCTGGGGCCCGAGTACCCTCGCCCAGTGAGACTTGTCGCAGTGAACCGCTTGCAGACTCCCTTGGCAGCTTGTGGCTCTGCGTGGCATCTTCCGTCCAGGGAGCTGAGCCCAGACACCGGCACCCCTGCCGGGATGAGAAAGGCAGCCCAACATCACTGTTCTCCAAATTCACGATGCAAATTAGAAAACAAAGTCATGGGAAAGAGTCTCATTAATCACCTAAAGCAGCCTTTCCATTAGTGTAATTTCTAGTGACGACAATTTGCTAATTTGAGCTGAAGTGGGGCTGGGCCAAGTCCCTGCACCTGTGGTTATCACTCCAGCATTGGCATGTGGGACATGGACAGCATATCTTCCTTGGGAAAGGGGTGCCTCCCCTCCAGGCTCCCCACTCCTGGATGTTCACCTAGAAGCCAGTCCGGAGATGCCTGTGTCAGCTGCTCTCGTGGGCCGAGTCTCCAGCTTTTGCTCAGTAGACCGCGTGTAACAGCCAGGTGTTCAGAGCACGATGCTTCCTTCTCCTGTGAGAGAACCCAGGCCTGCAGGTTCAGAAGAAGCCTGGCCACCCACCAGGCTGCACGTTCCCCCAGGGAAAAGTTGATTGAATAATCCTTTTTTCTAGGACTAAGTCAAGGTAAACTTCAGTCTCATAAACACAGGAAAGATCTCAAAAGCTGCTCCCTGGCTTCAAATGGTCCTTTGATTGCAGTACATGACCGAATATTTCACTCCTGATGGGCGAGCAGAAAATGAGAGGGGAGGCATTTTATTAACTTTCTGCATTTTCCTCGCATCTGGCTGTGTTTTTCAAAGATTTGGAAGCAAATATCCGTGGTTCCCAAGACACATAGAAGATTAACTGAGACGCCATGCATGAAAGCGTTTGTAAACAAAACTGCACAAGTATTGATTAAGTTTAATTAACAATGATGGATGACTAATATTAAGATGAGATTCTTGCACAATAGGCTGGGCTTCTTAAAAGTAGGAAGGATCTCACCTTGGTTGGTCCTTTTGTCCCCAGCAGCTACTGCAGCCTCCTGTGTAGGTTTGGGTACTCTGGTGTGAACCCAGGCTGGCATGTGGTGGGGGAAGGGGCACACGGGGGCAGGTGCACACCCCTAATGCAAGAGCAGGGTAGATGTGCTACAGGACGTGGTGCTCCCGGCCGGTAGGGAGGGGAGGGGTGGTTGCTGGGGTGGGGGTGGGCTGTAGAGGATGTCCCAGGTGAGGTGAAGCACAGGCACTAGAGATGGGGGATGTGATCAGGTTAAGGTAGATAAGTAGCACAGCGTAGATGTTCAGTGAAGAGCAGTGAGCCTTGATTGAGCACCTACTGTGTGCCAGGCACAGTGCCATTGACCAGGGACACCATTCCTTACTCCCCCAGACTTAGGCCACAAGTGGTGCTGAGTTCTTTCTGTATTGATTTGCAAAAAGAAGCAGCTAAGCAGTTGAGAAGGTCCCCACCCCCACCCCCACCCCCCGCTTACTGGCCTAGCAAGTTTGAGAGGGGATGGCAGTGGAAGTTTAAACTGAGCAAGGGCCGCCTGGACCCTGGGCCTTGCGGCTCCCCACCTTTGTGACAGTTAGGAGGCTCCAGGTTACTCAGCTGTGGCTGTGAGGCAGAAAGCGGCAAGTGCGGAGGGCACTGTGAAAGGAATGAGTGGCTCTTTATGAGGGAGTTAGAGACTGCCTGTGTTCCAGAGGCAGAACATGAGTTGAGTAAACTGAGCTGGGAACTTGAATTTTCTTAAGGTTCAGGCCCACAGCTGTCAGTCATGATTTGTGGGTGTGGCTAGGAGGCTTGCAAAGCCTGGGTTGGCACCAGCAGTGGTTCACTGTCCTCTTGCTGCAGTGTCACCATCCCTGCCATCCTAAGGGACGGGAGTAGATCTTGGGGCAAGAACCCATCAACTGACATGGAAACTTAATCACTGTGTCCCAGGTGACTAAAAAGTTCTTTAAGGGGAGAGAGCACCTTCAGCACCACGGAGAGTTCCCAGTAGGCCCTCCCCCCAGGGGTGGAGGAGGGAGGCTGACCAAGCTCTGTGCTGGATTTGGGTGATGATTCAGCCACTGGCAGCCACGGGGTCTTGGCAGGACCCAGGCTCTGTGCTCAGAGGGTCCTCGTTTGTCAGGTGGGGATAATGGGTCCTGGCTTCCAGGTTTACTGTGAGGAATCTACAGGGTTTACAGGAACATGTCTGAAAGTGGGTCTGGAGCATGAACCCCAGGCAGACTATCTGGATCCTGCCATCCCTAGCTGTGTCCGCTTTCCCGAGTTTTTAAAAATCTCTGAAGTGGAAATAACAGTCTGTCTTAATTTGAAAATAGTCAATATTGGGAAAATACATGCTAACCCCTTACCACAGGGCCTCGCTCATGGGATTCACTTTGGAAATACTCTTTCAGGCAGAAATAATGATAGGAATTATTGTCATCATCGTCATTCTTTATTGACTTCTTGCCCCAAACACCAGGGTCCATGTATTTAAGAAACAGTAGCCATTGCCACCTGCACTGTCCTCACCGTAACATTGTAATTTGGGCTGCAATCCTGGCTGATTAAGCAGCTGCACACCTGACTGGTTAGCCAGGGTTGAGTTCGTGTCTGCTTCCAGGCTCAGACACGAGACTATTTTGATGGCTTATGGGGCTGAAAGGGAGGGGGACGTGCACGCAGGTAATTAGCTTTATTAGCTCAGCTGTATAATTTTATGGCTCGTGTCCGAAAGCAAATTAATACAGAAATATGCTATTGGAATGATTTCCAAAGCTCCAGCACCATTTGGCAACTTTGTAATTACTCACACGCTAACTTGCTCCTCTAACTAATCAACTCAAAGCCCCTCATCCTGGCCACGTTTGTGAGGCGCTGTTTCTATTCTGCAAGCACTGTGGTGCGATCAGCTTCAAAAGCCTGGTGTGATTTCTTTTTTTTTTTTAAACAAGAGGAAGTAATATGCTGTAATCTGAAGTCTTAATTGCATATGAGTGAAAATAACCCCTTGAGGGAATCAGGAAAAAGAGCAGAAGAAAGCAACACAAAAACGTGGCCCTGCAGCACTTACCTGGGACGTTTCCTCATGCCAGTGTTGGTCTGGTCATCACACAACATTCACAGAGCAGTGCAGTAGGCCCTGTTGCAGGCCCCAGGATGGGGGCTCTGCTTGCCTGTCTGGTGCAGGCTGCCAAGGCAGTGCTGAGAGCCTTCGGAGCAGAGACAGCTCAGGGAGGCCTTCCTGGAGGAAGTGAGGTCTGAGGTGAGAATTAAAGAATGAGTACTGTGAGGCAGGGAGAGGGGAGGGAAAGGCAGTTCCTGGCAAAGAGCATAGAATGGGGAGGGTCTGGAGTTCGGAGAGAGCACGTGTTCTTTTAGAGGAATGGAAACAGGTCAAAGGCAGCCAGAGAAGGACTGGGGATGCACAGGGAGGTGGGGGCTTCTGAGCGTCCTGGACCCTTACAGCTTGGCCTGGGCTCCTGTCTGAGGCTGAATGCCATGTGCAGCCAGCCAGCTCTCTTGGGTCGCCAGCCCTCTTGTCTACAGCTTTCCCTGGATGCTTGGCTGGGCTGTCTGAGGGGGTGACATCCTTCTCTGTTCAGTGCCTCTGCCCAGGCACCCCTGTCATGCCAACAGATGATTTCAGTGAGCCTCGCATGCCAGCCCTCTGGCCGGAGGGACCCGGGCTCTCTGGCCTTCATTCCTCCAGGGTCTTGGTGCTCCTTACTCCCAGCCTCAGCCCACTCCCCTCTGCCCTCGTGGCTGCACCCCGACATGACCATCCTCAGGCTTGGCAAGTACAGTGAGCTGTTCCTGTATTGTCAGTTTCATTGGAATGGGAGCCTCTCAAGTTAAAGGTTCATGTCCAGTCACTTCAGTGTCCTCAGTGCTTCTCACCATGCCCGTCTCGTTTCAGACACACTCTGTGTTTGCTGAATGCAATTAACTTACCAAAGGAAGAAAGAAGTGGATTTCCCCCCACTTCCCCAGTCACTAGCGAATGTCAGGAACTAAATTCTTGCCTTTTGATTGAACTTAAATACTGTAGGTTTAATTTATGTAGGAAAAGGGGAAGAGGTTTACAGGTTGGTTTCTGAGGACCACGTTGGCTGTTTAATATTAGCACCTTGGAGAAAAATCTATTTTCTGCATTTCTTTACCTGATTTCTTCATCCACTGACGCTTGCTGAGGGGCCGTGTGACTTCCTCAGTTATGAACCTGCCCAAGTGAGCCTGTCAGTAATAATGTGTGTGATTGCAGCAAGGCGTGACACTCAGCAGACGTGAAACCAGCACGAAACCAGCACGTGTGGGGTCACGCGTTTTGTTGTATTGAACAGTGAGCCACAGTTGGTGTGCTTTTTAGGAAAACCAGCCTTCCATCTTCTTTATATCCCCCAGCAAGCATGACTGTTGGATTAAAATTATCCCAGTGGATTTCCCTTCTTCACACAACAGCTCAATTAACCAGATTTGGGGGGAGGGGGAGGCCCTCTGCACTGATGTGCCTGTTTTCTGCACACTCAGATGAGGTCTTGCGGTCAGTTAGACCATCACTTGAGAAGAGGGGGACAGTCATCTGCTGTGGGGGGTTTCCTGTCTGGGCATCTGTTCTAGAAACGTCTGGAACGTCTCCTCCTGGCCCGGGGCTCAGCAAAATGTTTCCTTGACGATGCTCACCCCTCTCTGAAGCGCACGGGCGAGGCGAGCGTGGAAGGCCTCCTGAACCAGCTGGTCCTGGAGCACCTGCAGCTGGCTCCTCTGCTGTGGGGTGAGTACCGCCCGTCACCTCGGGGCGCACGTGCTCCTTTTCTCACAATCTGCAAGCTCGCGCTGGGCGGTGTGTGCTGACGTCATCAGGGAACCCTGGGTGGGGTGGGGCTCACATTTCGTGGTCCGCACTTGGGTGCCGTCTGCACTCAGGCGTTTGTGGCTGTGTCTGGCGTGAGCTGGGTTGTGACTGGTTCTCTGCCCTCTCAGCCCAGGTGTGGTGATGGGTGTGGAGGTGCCCTCAGGGTCTGCCGTCCTCCCTAGTGGCCCATGGCCATGCATGGGCATGTCTTCTGCAGGCATTTCTGCATCTTGAGTGAGTGGGGTCAGGGGAGGGAGTGAGGGTGTGGTTACCTCCTCTCTCCTGGATGTGAGCTGACAGCTTTTCCCACGTCAGCTTGTAAGAGTCTGTTTGGTAAACACCTGAACTCAACCAGTGCTCAGCCTGGGAGAAGTGGTCCTGAGGTGACCCTTAGAACAAGGCATTTAAACTCATGTTACCTGTTGCGCCTGGAACTTTCACCTCAGTTTGTGCCTCCCTAAACAGCACTGGAGAAACTTTGTTGAGAAAGAAGCTAAATGTAGTATATTTGTTGAAGTGAGTGTCTTTGTTATTCATCATGTAATCTATTTGGGGTCAGATGCCAACAATCACATATGTATGTGTGTATCTTCTTTCTTTTCTTTACCCTGGAAGTCGTTGAAAGTTAGTGTCTGGTCTTCCTTCCAGTTAGATAATACGCTTGGCCTCCCCCTTTCGCATGTGGGAGACACATGAGAATTGTCCCAGGGGCCTGAAGAGAACAAGCCTTCCTCCTGGGTTCTCACTCCCCCCTAGTGTGTGGGAGCCCCTCATGCTAGTGGGGGGCCACCCCGCTCGGCTAGGCTCCCTGCTCCCGCGGATGAAGGTTGTCGGGGGTCCTGTGAGCTATGCAGACAGGCAGCTATGAGTGGACTGTGTTCTACACAGTGGCTTCTTCATGCAGGCCGTCCCCCTCGCTGGTCCAGCCTGAGTGGAAGGAAGGGGGTGGTGTTTGCAGAACGAGTCACTGTTTGCAGCTCTGGGGCATCCCTCAGCCTGACACTTCCCTGGGTTGAATGTCTTCTCTCTTGACAACCTGGGCTCAGCCAGATGCTTCCACCAGACGTGGCAGCTGCAGAGGTCAGACACCCAGGCCCTCCTGCCCCCCGGGGCTGGGACAGGCCCCCGGGAACCAGCCCTATGGAATAAAATGACACAAAACTTGTATTAAAGTCAAAAGAAAGGAAATCCGCCAGGCACAGGCAGTCTGGGAGTGAGCCCTGGAGGGTCTGACTCACTCCACAGAGCCCCCGGGGAATCAGAGAGGCAGCCAGAGGCCCTTTGCTGTGTTTGCATCAATGTCCTTACAGGTGTTTTCCTTGTCACATGTCACACGTACACCAGTGTGTTGGCAAATACTGCAGGTATCCATGATGTTATCCTGGAGAAGATGTGCGAGGTTTTAAACAGTAATCCCAGGACCTGAAAGGCGTTTCTGCCAGGCCTTGCCTGCAGCGCACGCAGCGGCGGGCTGCTCGGCGCTGCACCTGCGGGCTCCCGGCGGCACCCAGGCGGCCCCGTTCCTGTCTTTGTGGCGTCAACATTCTCCAGAAACAGTGTGTAACATTTTCCTGTCGGAGTGTTGTAATTAATTTAACTATTCCCATATTTGGCTGTGTCCAGGGAACTTTCTTTTGCACACATTTTTCTTTGATTTTTCTGACTAGACCCATTTTCTAGTTTCGGAGTTATTAAGTCAAAAGGCATGAACATCTTTAAGGCTCACGAGCTGCTTTGTGCAGTAACGTGTGACTGTTGATGAGCGATCATGGCATGGGCATTGTGCCAGCCTGAGCCTGACGTTCTCACCCCTCTTGTGCACATGGTTCCAGGGCAGTGGCCCGAGGAGGAGGGCGGTGAGTTTCGTTGCCTCCCTCCTGCCCCATACTGGCCGCCCCAGCCCACATCCCTGGCCTCAGCACATGTCACCTCCCACCCTGCTTAGCACGTCTGCAGTGGAGCCCACATCTCGGGGCTGCCGGCTCCTCATCTCATGACTCAGGCCGTTCTAATGCTCCTTCCAGGGCCCCTCAGAGAGTGAATCAAGGCTGCAGTTCCCCGGAGCCCCCATGACCTGGGGGTGCAGAGCTCACTGCCCAGACTGCCTGGTCCTGGTGGGCCTCTGCCAAGGCTGGCCAATTTGGCCTGGGCTGGCAGATTTCTTCTCTGACTTAGAGTAGGTGCATGTAGGCAATGCAAAAAGATAAAGCCTGTTATTTTAAAATGACCATCTGCAAGTGCACAGCACGTGCCGGGTGAGGTGTGAGGACTTCCCGTCCTCACTTCTGACCCCTGCATGTGGCCCCCTGGCCTCCCAGCGATGATGCGGCCGCTCAGCCGGGGGGGTCTGGTTCAGCCCGACTCAGCTGACAGGGAGGGATCCAGGTTCAAACGCAGATTTCCTCACCCTGGAATCTTGACCTTTCCACTAGATCACTTCATGAGAGAAAAATATTCTCATTGTAGAAATCCGGGGGAAACCAGAAAATTTGGATGGAGAAAACTTATCCTTTCCCTACCCCCCAAAAACGGTCTGTTTCATTTCATTTTTGTGCATTGCTACGTCTTTTTGCTGCCCCCAATTTAAATTTTGTTCCTAGAGGTGATCATACTGCAATTGTATCTTTGTGTCCTTTTTTATACTTGGCAAAACAAATATTTCCCATGTTATAAACACGTCTTACACATGCTGTTAAAGTTCTCACCATGAAGTCATCGAATGGATACAAGGTAGCGTAGTACTTGTACTGGCCTTTGGACGCTTCTGCATTTTGGAGATGTTCATTGTCAGGCAAGTTACTTGTTTGCGTTGGCTGTACATAGAGCTTTTTCTGCATTTTGTGGTCATTCCCTCAGCCAGAATACCCTGAAGTTGTTGCTGTTTTACGGGATGGTGACAAAGAGCACGACCGTGCATGTCTGCTGTGGGGTGGTGGTTGTGTCACGTGTCACCTGGCATTGGCTCGAACTCACCACGGGTCTCCATCCTGGCTCTGCCCTTGGGCAAGTCAGCCAGCTCTCTGAGTTCCATCTGTCAACTGGAGACGCAGAGGGCGCCAAATCCTGGGTGACGGTTTGAAGAGATGCCTGTGGTCTGGTGAGAGTGTGTTCCTTGCCTCCCAGCACGGACGTGGGCCTGGGGCGGTGGGGACCACTGGGATTGATGTCGTGAGGCGGTTGAGGAGGGGAGGAAGCTGAGGCTCTGGGGTGGATCCAGTACCGCGTGTGCTCCTTTCTCGGAGCATCCGGAGGCAGGACAGGGCGCTTATGTCAAACGGTGTCAAGTGGAGGCCTTGGTTGGGGTGACTGTTAGTTTCTAACACGAGATTTGTGCAGAAAGGCAGCAGTATTGTCTCTCGGAGACCCTAGGAGGGGGAGTGGAGAGCAGGCTCCTCCTGCCATCCGGCAGGACTGTCAGCAGCTGTAGGTGGCTGTGCTGTGGCCCAGGCCTCCTTGGCAGCTGAGCTGCCCACTGGCCCCCTGCCTCCTTCCCATGTAACTTAGCAACAGCGCTGGGCGGTGGATTTCTCCTACACAGCCTGCATCTCCGAACATCTGCTCCCGGACGAGAACGTTAGCGCTCAGGCCCCCTGAGGAGGCTGGGGCTGCTGGGCCAGGTGAGTCAGACGGTTTGGAGAACCCGAGAGGCTGGTCAGCCTGGGCCGAGGACCCTTTCCCTGGGGCCCAGTGATGGCAAGCGGCCGTCTGGTCTGAGTCCCGGCTGGCCAGGCAGCAGGTACAGGGAAGCCAAGGGGCTGAGTCGCTGTCCCTTTGGCGCCTTTGCCAAATATGAATAGGTAAATTTATAAAAAATAGAAAAATTGTATAAAGGATATGAAAGTAGTTGTTTTGAAGGAAAAAAAAGTGAAAACCAGAAACCCATGTACAAATAAAAAGCCCCAGGCCACTCCTGGTCCCCACAGGAATGACCCTGCGGGATGAGCAGGTCCTGCCGTTCCGTTGGCGGGCGCCCTGTGTGGGGG